TAAAGGGGCACCGTTGAAAAGTAATCAGATGAAAATAGGAAAAACTTTGACAAATACATTTTAGAAAGCCATTTCAAAAAGAAGAATTAGGTCCTTCAAACCCTGATTCCTGTTTAACTTATGTATAAGTGATAGCAGAAACTCACATCAAGGGTATGTGTCATTTAACTCTCCTTAGAAAGCTGAACAGATCATGAGATATGAACCAAACCCAGTAAAGTGTTGGAAATCACTGGGGAAAATAACTGGTGCTATGTCAAAAAACTAAAGCAGAAAATTCCCATTTTATGGCATCACCATCTTAGTTATCCTTGCTTGAAACTCTAGCCTCCTCTTTGACGTCTCATCAAATCACCAAGTTTATTTGGCAATTGTTATTTATTGGTACTGAGGATTGAATTCAAGGGTGCTCTACACTGAGCCACACCCCCAGTCCTTTTTATTTTGTGACAGGGTCTCACTAAATTGCCCAGGTTGGCCTAAAACTTTTGATCTTCCTGCTTCAGCCACCAAGTCACTGGGATTGGTGGGATTACAGGTGCCTAGCTATAGTTGTTCTGGAAACCCCCTTTTAGTCCCACCACCATTGCACCATTGGTTATAATCTCACCTAGAATAGCTTCCTTTTTTTGGTACTGGGAATTGAACTCAGGGAGATACTCGACCACTGAGCCCCATCCTCACCCCTACTTTGTATTTTATTTAGAGACAGGGTTTCACTGAGTTACTTAGTGCCTCACCACTGGGATTACAGCTAGCTTTTTTTTTTTTTTTTTTTTAAGACTTTATTATTATTGTGTGTGTTGCTGAGGATTGAACCCAGGGCCTTCTGCATGCAAGGCAAGCACTCTACCAACTAAGCTAGATCCCCAGCCCTACAATAACTTCTTAGTAGCCTCCTTTGCCCTTGGTCTGGCCCATTTTCACACTGCCACCAGTACTTTCTAATAGTAGAGAATGATATATGTTACTCCTAATTAAAAGCCTTTAATTAAAAAATAAATAAAAGTCTTTAATTATGCAACTGGCTACTGAATAAAATCCAGATGATTAGTTTGGGTTTCGGAGTCCTGTACCAGCAGTTTGGGAGGCTGAGGCAGGAGGATGGCAAGTTTGAGGCCTGTATCAAAAAAAGAGGACGGGGAGCTGGAGTTGTGACTCAGCGGTAGAGCACTTGCCTGGCATATGTGAGGCCCTGGGTTCAATCCTCAGCACCGCATATAAATAAATAAATAAATGATCCATTTACAACTAAAAAAAAAGAGAACTGGGGATATAATTTGGTGGTAGAGCACCCCTGGGTTCAATCCCCAGTACCATAAAATTTTTTTAAATAAACTTCAAGGTACTCCAACCCAACCTACCTTCACAATTCACTTTAACAACGGCTTTTCACCTTTTACCTGCAGCCAAGATACTAATTATATTTTGGATATTTAGGGTTAGATAAAATGTTAAAACTTCTAGGCTCAGTGGTTTATGCCTGTAATCCCAGCAACTCAAAAGACTGAGTTAGGAAGATCACAAGATCAAGGCAAGCCTGGACAACTTCGCGAGACTTTGTCTCAAAAAAGGACTGGGTGGCGCACCCCTGTAATCTTAGCAGCTCAGGAGGCCGAGGCAGGAGGATCACAAGTTCAAAGCCAGCCTCGGCAAAAGCAAGGCACTAAGCAACTCAGTGAGACCCTGTCTCTAATAAAATACCAAAAAAAAAAAAAAAAAAAGGACTAGGGATGTGGCTCAGTGGTAAAGTGTCCCTAAGTTCAACCCCCCAGTAGCCCCCTACCTTTTACCTCCAAAAAGTGTGTGTATGTATTTATATATATATATACACACACACACACACACACACACACACACACACACACACACATTTTTAAACTTCTTTCACCTATTTTTCTTTTTTAATATAGTTACTAGAAATTTAAAATATATATGTGATTTGCATTATATTTCCACTGGACAACACAGGTCTAAATTCTTCCTACAATTCATAGCTCAAATTCCACCTTTTTCCATGATGAGTTCTCTAATTTAACTCTGTAGCTAAAAATATCTCATAGTCCTCTTACTTGCACATCTCTTATATCCATTACTTTTTACCCTGAGTTACAATTATTAACATAATATCTACTTGAGTTTTAGTTGTTAAGGACAGTACTTAGGCTGAATAAATAATTGCCCTTTCACTAGCATTGTGAACCAATAAAAAAAATCAACTTCTCTCTCTCCCCCTCTGTCCTCCTCCCTCCCTCTCTCCCTCTCTCCCCCTCTCTCCCCCTCTTTCTCTCTCTCCTCACCCCCTTCCCACCCGCTTCCTTAAAAAAAAAAAAATCAATGTGGGTATTGGGTGAGTGAGTGAGTGTTTGATGAATAATTTTAAAACATCCATCTGGGTACAGTGACGCACACCTATAATCCCAGCGACTGGGGGAGACTGAGGCAGGAGGATTGAAAGTTTGAGGTGAGCCTCAGCAATTTAGTAAAACTCTGTCTCAAAAATAAGAAGGGCTGGGGATGTAGCTCAATGGTAATCACTCGGGTTCAATCCCTAGTACCCTACTCCCCACAAAGAAAGGAATATACCCAATGCATGACCAAACCCCATTGTTTTCATAATACAGACACAGAAACCTGGACAAAATATTTAATCAAGTGAGTGCAGCCATTTTCAATAGAGGACATGTTCCCTTAAGGATACACCAAAATCTCCAGGAAGGCATAAAGTGTTTGGCTTTGGTTTGGCAGTCTGGGGGTTGAACCCCGGACCTCACACATAGGCAAAGTGTTCTGCCACTGAAATGTATCATAGTTCTTTTCATTTATTTTGAGCCAGTTGCAATGGCACACACCTGTAATCCCAGCAACTTGGGAGGCTGAGGCAGGAGGGTCACAAATTCAAAACCAGCCTCAGCAAAAGCGAGGCACAAAGCAACACAGTGAGACCCTGTCTCTAAATAAAATACAAAATAGGGGCTGGGTATGTGGCTCAGTGGTACAGCAGTCCTGAGTTCAATCCCCAGTACCTTAAAAAAAAACAAAAAAACTTTATTTTGAGACAGGGTCTCCCTAAATGGCTCAGGCTGGCCTGGAACATGTGGTTCTCTTGCCTCAGCCTCCAGAATCACTGGGTTTGTAGGTGTATGCCTCCATACCTGGCATAAAGTTTATTCAAAGAAGTGCATATTTCAAGAGACAAAAATACTGCTCTGACTGGAAAATTGAGATTACTGGTGAAATAAAATTTGATGTAATTTTCTGTAAACTATATAATAAAATGTTGTTAAATATGAAAAAAAAATACTGCTCTGAAAGACCCCATACAGCCAACCACAGTGTCACATGTCTATAATCCTAACAGTGACTTGGGAGGTTGTGACAGAGGAATCACAAGTTCAATGCTATCTGCAGCAATTTAGCAAGACCCTATCTCAAAATTAACAAAAAAGACTTGGGGCTGTTTCTCCCTCTGGAATTGGCCCACATTTTCCCTTGAATGTATATTCCTTGCTTTACCCCAAACCACCTCACAGCCCATATTTACCCTAGAAGTACCCTCTGCTTTCCTAAATAAACCTCTAAGTTGTAATGTGGTAATGCATGCCTATAATTGTAGCAACTCAGGAGGAGGAGGCAGGAGGATAACAAGTTTGAGGCCAGCCTCAGCAATTTAGTAAGGCCCTAAGCAACTTAGCGAGACCCTGTCTCAAATTAGAACTGGATTAGAATGGCTCATATTTAATCAGAAATAACTTGAATACAAGGGAGATGGTGACACGCACAGAAAAGGAAAACAAGGAATAGAGATTTATAGATTTCATCCCAGTCTATAGACTGAACAAAACAACTACAACTGACCAACTATAACTCAGTGATAAAGCATCCCTACCCCTGGATTTAATTCCCAGTACAATTTTTTTTTTTTAAATAAAAAGTTTCTTGTTTATGTCTTTGGGGGAAAAAAAGCAGGGGAGGGGAGAACTGGGAATGTAGCTCAGGAGTAAAGCATCCCTGCATGGGTTCAATCCCCAGTACCAAAAGAAAAATTGAAAAAGCCCCACACAGCTGGGCACAGTTGCAGATCCCTATAATCCCAGCTATTTGGGAAGATGAGGCAGGTGAATGCCAAATTAGAAGCCAGCCTGAGAAATTCAGCAAGACCTTGCCTCTTCAAAATAAATACAAAGTCCCACAACAAAGTCTCATAGTGCTCAGCAACACCTAACTCAACACTTACCTGATGTGTCCTGAGCCCTGAGTAGCAGACAATATAGAGGTAAGTTAAACACCACCACTACCTTCCCAAAGCCCACAGTCTATGGGAAAGGCAGACGTAATTGTTTATTCACTTAGTATTTATATTCCACTGTTCTAAAAAGGGATTAGAACTGGCTCACACTTAATCAGAAATAACTTGAATACGAGGGAGACGGTGACATGCACAAAAAAGGAAAAAAAGGAATAGAGATTTATAGATTTTATCCCAGTCTAAAGACTGAAGAGCTTTAAGGTAGAGGTTGGATGGATGGGACTTAAGGGTGGAGAGGAGGGATGAATTCATTCCATCTGGCCTCATTCCCTCCAGCTCTCCACATACCCAAGTGTGACTCACTCACTATTCAGTTAGAATTAGAAAAAGAAACCTAGGAAGGAGCACTGAAATACTTGGGGTGGGGTTGGGTTGGGTTGGTTCAAATACAGCATCAGTCTCCTCATCTAAAAGATGAGAATGCTTGTAGTATTAATGTAAAGATCAAATGAGACAGTTGGTATGAAAATGCTGTGTGAACTAAAAGAGTGCAAGTAATTTCAGCTCCTAACACAGGCCTGACTGAAGGAGGTGAATGAAGAATGGAGTCAAGACATGAGTGAATGGCCCCAGAGAATGCATTGTTCTTCCTACACAGGATAGTATCCTCCAAGCCCAAAGACATTAGATTCTGACCACCCTCTCCTTCCTGGTAGAAGACCTCTCTTCCTTTCACAACCAGTGGGCCTACCTTGTACTGCTGCACTTCTTCATCTCGTTTTTGCTTCACAAGTGTGATCTGGTCCTCCAGGTTCCTGTTTTGCAGGTGGAGCTGCCGGGCCTCTGCTTGCAGGGGTCTCAGAGCCTCCTTCATCTCCTGGATCTCAGCCTGGGTTTTCTGCAGAGCTTTGGTCCCTGCTTCTTTCCTCTCCAGGAGCCGCAGCAGTTGAGGTTCATACTCTTCCTCCAGGCCCTGGCGGTTCTCTGCCATGAGATTTTCAAACTGGGCAGACAGCCGGCGGCTTTCTTGGATAAAGTGCCCATCCCTTTGGTTTGGGGGTGCTTCTAGTTGTTGCCTTAACTGCGCCTTCTGCTTCTGATAGGCATCCCGGAGTTGGACCAGTTCCTCCGAGAGCTGGGCTGCCCTAGTAGTTAGCACTTCCCGGAAATCAGCAAACTGAGCCACATCCTGCTGGCGGCACTCCAGCTGGTACTGGTAGGCCACACATTCCTTGGTCACCTTGAACAATTTCTGTTTGACCAGTCGGATCTCCTCCCTGAGCCCATCCCTCTCCAGCTCTGCCTGGGCATGCAGCTTGTAGGCAGCCAGGATGTCCTGATGGACTTGCTGTACCTCCTGCAGAGCTGGTTCACGGAGCAGCACAAGTTCATGGATGAGCTGATCCCGCTCCTCTTCCAGCTGGGCCACTGCTTGCACACACTGCTGGAAACGGCCCTCTAGCAGTTCCAGGTCTGCCATGCTTAGGTTGTCCTCTGTGCTGGGGCTTAACCCTGCTCTGAGGCTCTCCTCAGGGCAACATTTCTCTTCTTTTGCCAGCATCTCTCCATCACAAACAATCAGCCCTGGGCTGGGACTCTTTGCTGGCTCTGCAGTCTGCTCCACAAACTGTATCTCATCTGGCTTCACAATCTCTTCCACATACTCTTCTGGACTTGCAAGCTCTTCCACATACAGTGTCTCCTCTGGCTGCCTGGGCTCCTCAATATAAAGTGTCTCCTCTGGCTTCTCTGTCTCTTCTACGTAGAGCGGTGTCTCTTCAAAGTCTCCTGTGTCATCAAGGTAAAGAATGTCTTCTAGGTTCACAGTTCCCTCTGAAGATAGTGTAACTTCTGGGTTCACAGTCTTGGACTCATTCCAGGATTCAGGATTCTCTTCTTGAAGAGGAGAATTGGACTCTGCTCTTGTTTCTCTGCAAAATAAATTATTTATTTAAAGTGAAAGGGGAGCTGTAGTTATAGCTCAATGGTAGAGTGCTTGCCTAGAACATGTGAGACACTAGGTTTGATCCTCAGCACCACATAAAAATAAATAAAATAAAGGTATTGTGACTATCTACAACTAAAAAATATTTTTAAAATAAATAAATAAAAATAAAGTGAGGGCTGGGGATATAGTCAGTTGGTAGACTGCTTGCCTCGCATGCACAAGGCCCTGCATTTAATCCCCAGCACCACAAATAAATTAATTAATTAATAAAGTGAAAGGGTTCCAAATATGGTAGGATGGTTTTTGACAGAACCATCAGCCACAGGTCAATTTTTTAATGTTTTTATTAGTGCATTATAATATACATAGTAGTGGGAATCATTTTGACATTATCATACATGCATGAAATATAATTTGCTCCATTTGAGTCCCCAGTGCTTCCTCTTTCCCTCCCCTCCTCCCTCTCCCTATTCTCCTTCCTTTACTGGTCTTCCTTGTATTCATTTTTTGTTCTTTTAATTGCTGCTTTATAGATATACATAAAGATGAAATTCACTGTGGAACATTCATATATGTACAGTAGAAGACAGGAAATAATGGAGATCAGAGCCAAAATTAATGAAATTGAGAATAAAAAAAAATAATACAATCAGTGCAACAAAGGGTTAGTTCTGTGAAACGATAAATTCCCTTATCTGGTCCCTTCCCTCTATTGATCTACCCCCTCCACATATAGGGTCCATTGTTTTGATCCCCTCATAGCATCCCCTCAAAGTCACTACCTCATCTCTTTTACATAATTTAAAGGAGAGGAAACTCACACTTGAGCCTCTACTATAATTGATACTAAGATTGATTAATCCTTAGCCAAACTATCCAGAAGAGAGAAGACCCAAATCAACAAATTAGAGATGAAAAGGGAGATATCACCACAGACACTTCTGTAATCCAGAAGATCATTAGAAATCATTTTGAAAATTTATACGCCAATAAATTGGAAAATCTATAAGACATTGACAAATCTCTAGACAAATATGAGCTGCTCAAATTGAATCAGGAAAATAGAGAAAACCTAAACAGATCAATATCAAATGAGATTGAAGCAGCAACTAAAAGTTGTGGCTCAGAGGTAGAGCACTCACCTACATGCATGAGGTACTGGGTTTGATCCTCAGCGCCACATAAAAATAAAGATATTGGGTTCACCTGTAACTTTAAAAAAAAAAAAAAAAGTCTTCCAGGACTGGGGCTGGTACAGCACCTGCCTAGCATGTGTGAGGCACTGGATTTGATCCTCAGCATCACATGTAAAAATAAATCAATCAAATAAAGCTGTGTATCCATATACAAGTAAAAAAAAATATTTGAAAACAAAGTCTTCCAACAAAGAAAAGCCCAGAACAAGATGGATTCTCAGCTGAGATCTACTAGATTTTTAAAAATATATATATTGTTTTAGTTGCAGATGGACACAATACATTTATTTTTTAAAAAAATATTTATTTCTTAGGTGTAAATGGACTCAACACAATGCTTTTATTTTTATGTGGTGCTGAGGATCGAACCCGGGTCCCGCCGGTGCTAGGCAAGCACTCTACCAATGAGCCACAATCCCAGCCCCACAATACATTTATTTTATTTATTTATATGTGGTGCTGAGGATGAAACCCAGTGCCTCACACATGCTAGGCAAGTGCTTTACCACTGAGCCACAGCCCCAACCCTGAGATCTACCAGACTTTTAAAGAAGAACTAACACCAGTCTTCCTCAAAAAGAAGGGCACAGTCCTAAAAACAATTATGAAGCCAATATAATCCAAGTATTAAAACCAGACAAAGTCGCATCAAGGAAAGAAAACTAAAGACCAATATTCCTGATAGAATAACACAGAAACCAAAGACATAAGACTCCAGCAGATTCTCAAATCAAGGCTCCTTTTCCTGTATTGATCTGGTGCCTCTGCACACACAGTCCATTGTTTTGATTCCCTAAAAGCACCCCCTCAAAGTCACTGTCTCATCTGTTTACATAACTTCAAAGACAAGAAACTTACACCTGAGCCTCTACTATGTGCTTCATAGTAGAGTAAAATTCTAATGTTGAAGTAGAAACTTCTTTCTTGCAATACTTGCCTGCTGGACTTGATTCTCCCTTTGGAATCAGACAATTCTGCTTTTCCACGTATGTTCTTTGAACACTTTAAGATAACTAACTCAGAGGCTAGGGAGATAGCCCAGTGGTCAAGCATGTACTTGGCATGCGCAAAGCCCCATAGGTTCAATCCCTAACACCAAAAAATAAAAAAGATAACTAATTTACCTTTCAATTACTGCATACATGCCAAAGTTTCCTCTGCCCTCCTTATTTGAATCACTTCCTCTGACCAGGCTCCATATTGTTACTATCCCTTGAGGATGAGTATTAAAAGCAGTAGGTGTGGCCGGATGTGGTGGCACTCACCTGTAATCCCAGTGATTTGGGAGGGTGAGGTAGGAGGACTGGGAGTTCCAAGCTAGCCTCAGCAACTTAGGCCCTAAACAACTAAGAAAGACCCCTGTCTCTAAATAAAATATTTTTAAAAGGGTTGGGGATGCGGTTTAGTGGTTGAGCGTACCTGGATTCGATCCCCTATACAAAAAAAAAAAAAAGTCCATAGACACTAAAATCCTATTGAGGCAGCCAAGATTTCCTTAGAATATAGGGCAGCTCCATCATATTCTCCCTGTCCCCACCTCTGGTACTGGGGATTGAACCCAGGGTGTTTCACCACTGAGTTACATCCCCAACCCTTTTTATTTTTAGACAGGGTCTTGCTAAATTGATAGGCTGGCTGTGAATTTGCAATCCTCCTGCCTCAGCTGCCCTACTTGCTGAGATTACAGGCATGTGCCACCACACTCAGCTATACCAACCTTCTAATGGCTTCTTCCCTGTCCTCACCTAATGTATTCTCTACAGGGCCACAGTTCACTTGCTACACCCTAATGTTGCTCCACTTCACAATTTCATGTGGCTCCAACTTACCTTTTTTAGCCTCAGCTCACATTACTCCTGCAACCCACCCCATGCCTGACAACCCAGAACATGTGTTAACTTTTCACACTTCCCACTCTGAGCCCACAATGACTGAAGGATCCAATGGCTGAGAAATGCAGCTTCTCAAACACCACCTGCCTAGAGAACAGCCCTGTACTACACAGAAAGGTCAAGCTCCTGGCGCCAGTAAGACACACCTGCTCAGTCAGCCAGGCCCACTCTGCTACTCAACAGAGACCTGCTTTCCCAGCCAATGGCCCTCCCATCATGCTCCTGCTGAGGCCTCCATCTTGGAATGATTTAACCACATTCAAGGTACTATTCTAAGCATTTTACATGAGTACTTTCTTTAAAAACAAACAAAAAAAAAAAAAAAACATATTTTTAGTTGTAGGTGGACATAATATCTTTTTAAAAAAAAAACATTTATTTTTTTAGTTTTTAGGTGGACATAATATCTCTATTTTACATTTATGTGGTGCTGAGGATTGAACTCAGTGCCTCATGCATGGTAGGCAAGTGCTTTACCACTGAGCCACAATCCCAGTCCTGGACACAATATCTTTATTTTATTTTTATGTGGTGCTGAGGATTGAACCCAGTGCCTCATGCATACTAGGAGAGCGCTCTACCTCTGAGCCACAACCTTAGCCCCATGAATACTTTCTTATAGAATATTCCTCTATTATCCCCATTGTATAGATGAAGAAGCTGAAGCACAAAGAAAAAGAGGAACTCACTGGAAGTTCCACAATTCATACAAGTGGCAGACAGGCCTAAAGAAGGCCACAGTACTTACCACTCTCTGCCTAGCATAGGTGTGATGTCTGGAAGAAGTAAATGTGGTATGGCACATATAATAGGGCTTGGAACATAGTGGTCAAAAACAACTATCTTAGGGCTGGGGTGTGGCTCAGGGATAGAGTGCTTGCCTAGCATGCACTGACGCTCTGGGTTGAATTCCCAGCACCAAAAAGGAAAAAAAGAAAAGAAAAGAAAGGAAAGCTTTCTATTTACTGAAATTTCTATTCATCTTTCAAGACTTGCTCAAACTCTTATCTCCTCTGGGAAGTTATTTCCCAAACAAGATCCACCTAGGTCCTCACAACACTGAATGCAGCTCATCTTGCGCGCAGCTCTTTGCATTACAGAAGTGCATGTGTCTGTCTCACTGATAGTGAATTTCCTAAAAACAGTTATATTCTCCTTCCCAGGAGTGGGGTCCTTAAAAGGAAGGCAAGAAGAAATGACTGATCTTCAAAGAGGAAACTTACCCAAGGTCAAGTGGTAAAGCTGGAGTAGAACCCAGGCTTCCTGACTCTCTGGCCATGCTGTCACTCCACCCAGGGTACCAGATGCTGTGCTCACACAGCTGCCTCTACTAAGCAGGGCAAGAAGCACATTATGGGAGACTAAAGGGAGAGGGATGAGTTTGGCCAGGACCCCTGACCTCAGGCTTTCTTGAGCCCAGGCAGTCTGCTTCTGCCACTCTATCCCTGTTCCCAGACGACTCCAGCAGCTCCCTAACACTGTCTGTTCCTCAGGAATTTGGCTGGGAGTGTGTGTGTGACACTGTGCAGGCAAGAATACATCTATTTGACTCTGTGTACACCTCTATGTGTACACAGCAGTACAGGCGATTGAACGTGATCCACATGAGGAATGTGACTGTGGAGGGATGTCAAGAGTATGTATTTGTACCTCCACCTTCTTGGTACACTGGAAAATCCCAGGGCTACAGCCTGAGGTGGAGCAAAAATACTCCCCACTCATTCCCAAATCCCTTGGCCACAGGTCCCTTCCCCTAACCAGTGGTAAGCTAACAATGTGGATAGAGTAGCAGCTGTCCCTTCTAGTCCCTGCCCAGCCAGAACCCTCCTGCTGCTCCAGGGCAAATAGACCCTCCCCACCCCCATCCCAATTAGACAGGAGAGAACAAGCTGCCGACCAGACTTTTTAACTTCAAATTGGCAAATGCCCAACCTTGCACCAAGTGGCTTCACCCAGCGAATCCACAACTGGTTGCCCCAGTTGACATTCCCAGTTGACATCTGGAGTTGAGGAATGACAGAAAACGAGTATTGTCTTTGGATACATGGGCAGGTTGATTTTGAGCAGATTATAGCCCGAAAGGGTTAATTCTCACGCGCCCTTGGGAGGGGGAGGGGGATTATAAAAAGCTACTGATCAAGGAAGGTCCCGTGACGCCGAGTCAGAGCTCCCCATCTCCCTTGGATGAGCGGCTCCGCCCCGTGCCCCACCCCGGCTGGACCACTACCCCCAGCCTGGTGAAGGGGCTGCGGGTGGGGGAAGGGAATACGTCCAACACCCCCTCCCCAAAGGGGAGGCGATACAAGCCTGGACTGTCCTACCTCGCGGCCTGGGCGGCGCCGTCCCCGCCGCGCCGGAGCTCCGGGCTGGCCATGGCTGCGCGACCCCGGGCTCAACGGGCGCGTTATTAATAGCCGGCCCCGCCGGCCGCTGCTCAGGCGCCCGCGCCCGCCGCACTGCCAGCTGCAGCCGACACCGGATCCCGGCCGCCCCGGGCCGGGCGCGCCCACTTGGCCCAGGCTCCAGCCTGCGGGAGGAGGGAGCGGGCCGAGGCCCTGGGGGCGGGGAGAGGCCGCCCCTTCCCGGAGAGGCCGGTTGGGGTGGGATGGCGTGGGATAGGGGTGAGGGGCGGCTAGTGGCCTTTCCAAAACCAGCCAGCCCCGAGATCTTCCCGGACCTTCCTTCTCTCCATCTTCCCCTCCTGGGGTCTGGGTTATAGTGGGAGTCAAGGGGAGGGCTCTGCAATCCCAGGAGAGAACTTCTACTGCCCTGTGGGATGGGGGAGCAAGGTTTGGGGAAGGGGTGCTCAGAGGGACCCAGCACCCCTCATCAGGTTTGTGTCTAGGAGTGTTGACGCCCTCAGAAACCAACCAGCGCAGAGGACTGGAGCGCAACCTCCTGCGAGTGATCCGCAGCTGTCGTGAAGGGGTGGGGTAGGGTGCGGGCTGGGGGGGGGGGGGGGGGTTAACGGCCACACCCCTTGCCTCTGGGGACAGCCCGGGGCTTAGGAGCCCTTGGCTGGGGTTAGAGAAGGACTGTGGGAGGACTGTCAAGGGGTTTAAGGCTATGGTTGAGCCCGTGTTTAACATCGCTTTCCGTCCTGGGGTATCCCAGTGGTCTCTGTCACCCCCACTCAGTTGGCTTCGGTTAACCTGGAGGGATATCATCTCCCCCCAAGTTCTTGCCCCATTAGTGTCAGGGTCAAACTTCAACACTGAACTCATTCTCACCCCCCCACCCCCAAGGAAAAAGCTGCTGCAGGGAACTGGGGACATAGCTCAGTTGGTAGAGTGCTTGCCTCCCAGGCACAAGACCCTGGGAGGCAACACACACACACACACACACACACACACACACACAAAGCTGCTGCGGGCCTTTCCAGACCTGGGTCTCAGGCATTCTCCTGATTCCTTTTTTTCCACTTAGTCCCCGGGTCTGGGGTGGTTTTGACTCAATCACCAGAAGAACAATTACCAGGGCTTGGGGCGGGGGTGCAAAATCATGCGATTGTATTGAATGAGTGTGGGCTTGGGCATTGTGATGAAGGTACCCACAGTGGTGGGGCCTGGATTTGTGTGTGGAGTGCAAGATTGTGGGGGTTGTGTGCCCATATGTGGGTATGTGGATGTGAGACTATGATCACAGGATCAATGTGTGGCGATTATGTCTGTCGACGTGTGTTCTTTGTGGGCTGTGGGGGATGGGGAGCTGGCTGCAGTGACTGGGGTGTGCATATGGTCCTGTATGAGACTGTGATTGTGTCCCTGATTGGGGCTGATCTGTGTGATTGCAGTGGCAGCAGGGGGGTTGTACACAGAAGCAGATGTGTGGAGCATCCTCTGTGACTGGGTATGTATGTGTTCATTCATCTGCTATCTGTATATTTATAGTTCTCTGTCTATGGTGAGGGGGTGGAAGATTAACACCCAGGGCAGTCCAATATACCCTTTTAAGGTATGCATGAGAAAAAGTCAGGTTTTGGAGGAGGCTGGCCATTTTCTGACTTACCCCTGAAATATTCCAGGGGAGGAGGTTGGCAACACCTTAGTGGCTGGTTGTTTGACAGCTGCTGCCAGTCAGAGGGGAGCAAAGGGAGCAAGCTCAAGGCCTGCCAGTCGGGGTGCTGTTTGCTGTGGGTGCTAGGCAACAGGTGGCAAGGGCAGCATTCAGAAGGGCTGCTGTCCCTTTCCCTTCAGCCCCTTGCCCAGGAGCTGGCCCTGGGCAGTCCCCCAAGACTGAATTCCTTAACCTTCCCCAACCTTCCCCTAAGCTTTTTTTTTGGGGGGGTGGGAGTACTGGGGATTGAATTCAGGGGCACTCAACCACTGAGCCACATCCCCAGCCCTATTTTGTATTTTGTTTTAGAGACAGGGTCTCACTGAGTTGCTTAGCACCTCACTTTTGCTGAGGCTGGCTTTGAACTCATGATCCTCCTGCCTCAGCATCCCAAGCACTTGGGATTACAGGCGTGTACCTAAGCCCTTCTTTAGACCAAAACACTGAATCCCCCTAGGATTCCAGAAATTCCTTTCCCTCTGAGCGTTCCCTCTGCCTAGAATACCCTTTCCAGATCTTCACATCCCAGCTTCCACCCAGCTCATATGTCATCTCTTCAAAAGCATGCAGCCTGTGATGTCCACCCATTGACTGTTTATCCCATCACCCTGTTTATTTTCTGTGCAGCCCTTCTCACAACCTGCAACAATATGGTTTATTTTCCATTCCTTCCTGACCTGCTTCCCCCACTAGAATGGAAACCCCAGGAGGACAAGGACTTTGTGTGTCTTGTTTATTACTGTGGCTCCAGGGACTAGCACAAGGTCTAGCAACGTAGTAGGAAAATATGTTGTAAATGAAGGAAGGAAAGAAGAATGTTCTTATTCAAGCAACATTTGATGCCTGTTGTATGCTAGGCATGAGCACCCAATACCAAGAAAGCCCTTGTCTACTCCAGAAGACAAACACACAAATGTGCCCAGATTGTGTCCACCTAGGTAGAGTGAGGTATGTGAGATCATAGATCAGATCAGTTGGCACACATTAGCTCTTGGTCTATTGAGCCTGTGTCAGCAAATGGCCTTATTTAGTCCAAGTCTGCAAGAAGCTCACTGTGTATAAGAGGCTAGAACCGTCTCCTGGGGAGACAAGCCTGCGCAGAGGGTGATGCCAGATCACTAGGCTGAATGATGTGTTGACAGGCACTGAAAACCAGGGAGGCCAGGGGTGGGAGAGATTAACTCCAGGACTATGACTGCCCTTGGACAGGGTAACCTGGGCCTGGAAGGAAGGGAAAGGGTGTTTCAGAGTCAGGCACAGATTGTGCTTTCAAAAACAAGTCATCCCCGGCACAAAGTCAAATCAGGGAAGAGGACAGCCAGGGCTGGCTATTCCCTGCCTCCCCTCCATTCTTCATGCTTCTCTGCTGCCTGTGGTGTCCTGGGGCTGACTCCAACTGACAGTTTCATGGCCCCTTGTCTTCTGGCTTCCGGTGGGGCTTGGCTAATAGGAGACACTGGCAGGAGACCAGAGGGAGGGGAAGACTATGATCAGGATATTTATTATGCCTCCCTCCCTGCCTCCCTCTGTGATGTTGGCAATTACTATACTCCTCTACCAGAAGCCACAGCTTCTATTAGGTGACCTGTACCTATGGGTGTAGCTCTCACCAAGTTCACTAACAAGCCTCCCCCTCCTTGTTCCTTCAGACCCAATATGGTGGTGATTCCAGCCCACTGTTCATCACCCCAAGGTGGCCATTCCTGTAAGCTTCTCTCTGAATAGGCTTCATGAACCCTCCTCCTTGATGTGTCCATTTCCTACAGAAACCCCAAAACCTAGCCAGGTGTGGTGGTACACACCTGAAATCCCAGTGGCTCAGGAGGCTGAGAAATGAGGATTGCGAGTTCAAAGCCAGCCTCAGCCATGGCGAGGCACTAAGCAACACAGTGAGACCCTGTCTCTAAATAAAATGCAAAATAGGGCTGGGGATGTGGCTCAGTGGTCGAGTACTCCTGAGTTCAACTGAGTGCCCCTGAGTTCAATTTCCGGTATCAAAAAAAAAAAAAAAAAAAAAAAATCCCAACACCTGAACCCAGGCCAGGTGTGGTGGTGACCACCTATAATCCCAGCTATTTGGTAGTATGAAGGACCGAAAGTTCTCAAGGCCAGCCTCAGAAACTTAATAAGACCCTGTCTCAAACTACAATAATAATAAAAATAAATAAATAAAAGGACTGGTATGTAGCTCGGTGCTAGAAGAAAGAGAAGAAAAAGAAAGAAAAAAAAAAACGTTAGAGCCAAGTGTGGTGGCACACACCTGTAATCTCAGCCACTCTGGAGATTGAGGTAGGAGGATTGCAAGTTCAAAGCCAGTCTGAGCAACTTAGCGAGGCCCTAAGCACCTCAGCGAGACCCTGTCTCTAAATAAAATATAAAAAAGGGGTGGGGTGCTTAACTCAGTGGTTAAGCACCCCTGGGTTCAATCCCTGGTATCCCCCAAAAAAGAAAAAAAAATTATGAACACATTCCATCCTTGTGAAGAATGACCTTCTACCAGCACACGGGGCAGGGTCCCCACATGAAGGGTTCATCTTACCCTATCTTAGTCTTATGCCTGTGGTTACCTAGGCTGGGAAAAAGGGCCTCAGTCAGTAGACCTGAGGGAGGGGAGAATAGCGGGATGACTGATGGAGAGATGGCCTGGGAAGTGGGTAGCACTTGGGGGCAGGGGAGGTGGAGCCTGCACAGCAGTCTTTAATCCACCCAAAGCCTGTCCTTTATGACCCCGGAAGCCAAGTTCCCTGAGCCTCAGTTCCCTGTCAGTGGAATGGACAATCAGTACCTCTTTATGGGATTGTTGTGAAGTAGTCAAATTGAGGCTCAGCTCAGGAACTTATGGACAGAATCATGGCCATTCTACTCTGTTGCTTGTGCTAAGAGTCCCTGCAAATCATCCAGAAGTAGGAGGAGGTGGTACAGAGATGACTTGCAGGGCCCTCAAACCCACCACTTCTAGACCCAGGGTACCAATCCAAACTTTGCAGGCAACAGGTCAGAACCTGAAACCTATTTGCACTTACTGTGTGACTTTGGGAAGGTCACATCACCCCACAGATGCTACTTGCTTTCTTTTCTTTTGCCCCCTGCCCGCCGCTTGCTTGCTTCCTTCCTTCCCCTCTCTCTTTCTCTTTCTTTCTACCCTTTTTTTTTGGGGGGGGGGGGTACTGGGGATTGAGCTCAGGGGTACACAACCACTGAGCCACATCCCCAGCCCTATTTTGTATTTTATTTAGAGACAGGGTCTCATTGAATTGCTTAGCGCCTCGCTGTTGCTGAGGCTGGCTTTGAACTCTCGATCCTCCTGCCTCAGCATCCAGAGCACTTAGGATTACAGGTATGCACCACTGCCCCGCCTTTCTCTCTTTTTTTTCCCCACAGGCTTTTTTTTTTTTTTTTTTTTGGCAACACA